CACGATTCCAGGAGTGTAGAAAACAGGGTATGAACTGTTTGGAGAGACTGCTATTTTGAGTGTTTTGACTCTATCGCGGCTCAGGGCAACCATCTGTGAAGGTCGAGAAGCTGCAGCATCCTGCACAGCCAGTTGCAAGACAACCCCTAAAGCAAGCATAACCAACCATACATTGCAAACATGCAAGCAATAATACTGTCAACAACTATTCAACAATGAATTTGCTTTCAGTAGCCGGCCTGATCGTATGTAGGATTAGATGTGCCAACGTCAGATGGGGCATGTTGAGGAACAACCGCCACAGGCCGCAGTCGCTGAGCCCATAAGGAGTAAACGGTGAGTCTTATTTGCTTGAAATCCTTTTCAAAAAACTATTAGCCACTGCTAATCCTTACTTGGATCCTTCCTTCAATACGAATGAAGTTTTAGGCTTGGGTCTCTGCTCATACCTGGGAACGCAGGGCTGGGGTCGGATCGACATAAACGTGCACATGCGCCACGCCGAGTTGCGCTGCTTGTTCAAAAGTTCAGAGCCCTAGTTTAGTGGTATTATTGATATTGATTCCGTTCGCTTTTCTTGAGCAGTCTTGCAGCATGCTCCCGCCCTCCCTTGCGGGTTCGAAACTCTTCAGGCTGGAGCGGCCGTCAAGGATGCAACGCAACTGCAAGGGGTCCTGAGCAACAGGAGAATCACTAGAAATTCGAGCAAGTTGGTTTGGCAACGCAAAGTATACCCCATAGGATTTGACGTCTTAACATTCGGATCTGGATTTACGGATCACTTCAAGCGTTTTTTTTCGTTATCCCCTGTGTGGAATTGAAACCTGGGGACAACTTCGTCGCCGACAGGAATGTTGTTTTCGACGGACGGGTATTGCTTTCCTTGCTTAGCCTAGTTACCGGGAGCTCTCCGAAATTCTTCTGGTGCCTGTTTCTAAATGCTTAATCCGCCACTGCGTGTGCACGAGTGGCTCAACCTTTTGACAATATTTGACAATATAGTTTATGTAGGAATCTACAACAGGCTCTATGGAGGTTAGCTGGCTGCTAAAGGAAAAGCCAGTTACATGGCACCAGACCACCTTCCAGTCGTATTTAGGCGTGCCTACTGCAACCCATGGCAAAGATGTGAAAGATGTGTTCTCCTCCGCGGCGTACAGGCCCTGCACCGCGGCACGACCCCGGAAAGGATTGCCACTGGTTGCTGCGCTTGCTACAGTGTCAGCTGTCATCTTCCTTGTCTACCTGTGCAGTTTGTCAACTCGAGGGAGAATATCCACGCCATTATTTGGGCGCAAACTCGCCGGAGGCGCGGATGGCAAAGAAAGCAATGAGACAGATCCGTGCATCACACACACAGATGCAGACACAGACACGCCTCCACACACACCCCAGCAACATATTGAGAATCTTACCCCTAGTTCAAGCAGGCACCTTCCTGCCACAACTTGGTATGCCGGCCTAGATATTCAAGATCAGACGCTGCCGTCGTCGGAGGAAATTGTGGCGGTTCCAAGTCTAGGCTTGCGTGGACAGCAGAGGCATGCCAAGAGGAGGGAAAGAGAGGGACCCAGTGAGGAGAAAGTGCCCAAATTGTTTAAACAGGCGGCTCCGAATCAGGAGACGCTTCCAGAACCACCTTCTCTAGATCCGGATGTCGAGTTACTTATTGATTCCGTCTTATCTCAGAGCAAACATATGTTACAAGAAGAGGCTTGGATTGTCGATGATGATATAGGCAATTCGAATTCAGCAACGCATAGTGAAGATGCGGCGTCCCTACAGGAATCTGTGGAACCACTGAGCCAACCTACGGCCATGGAGACAAATCAGGTGGCTCCCCTACTCTCCGGAGCCTTGCTAGCTCCGGGAGGCGCTGAATTAACCGGTACAACGCCTCTAAGCCTTTTCGAGTCAGTGCTGTCAGAATCCAGCCATACTGCTCAAGCAGTCTCATTAGAGGAGTGGTTGTCGGGCGAGGAAGCCGCAGATTTGGTGGAGGCGCTGCAGCCAATGCCTTCGCCTGGAGCGTTTCCTCCAGTGCCTAGTAGTATTGAACCAGGGCTT